CATTATATTGCCACCCTTAATAATACAGAACGGGAGGCCAGGCACAGTGACTCAGGCCTGTAATCTCAGTCCTTTGAGAGGCTAAGGTGGGAGGATTGCTTCAGCCCAGGAATTCAAGCCCAGCCCGGGCAACATAGGGAGACCCCATCTTAAAAAAAAAAAAAAAAAAAGACAAAAATTACCTGGGCATGGTGCACACCTGTGGTCCCAGCTGCTTAGGAGACCAGGTGGGAGTATTGCTTGGGTCCAGGGGGTTCAGGGTGCAGTGAGTTGTGATCGCACCACTGCACTCCAGCCTGGGTGACAGAGTGAGAACATGTTCCCAGTCCCACCAGATTGCTTGGGCCTGTAATCCCAACATTGAGAGGCTGAGGTGGGTGGATCACCTGAGGTCAGCAGTTGAAGACCATCCTGACCAACACGATGAGACGCTGTCTTTACTAAAAATACAAAAAATTAGCTGGGCGTGGTGGCGTGCGCCTCTAGTCTCAGCTACTTAGGAGGCTGAGGTAGTAGAATCATTTGAACCTGGTTGCAGTGAGCTGAGATCACACCACTGGGGGCTCCAGCCTGGGTGACAGAACGAGATTTCGTCTCAAAAAAAAAAAAAAAAAAATAGCCGGGCATGGTGGCTCAAGCCTGTAATCCCAGCACTTTGGGAGGCTGAGGCGGGTGGATCACGAGGTCAAGAGATCGAGACCATCCTGGTCAACATGGTGAAACCCCGTCTCTACTAAAAATACAAAAAATTAGCTGGGTATGGTGGCGTGTGCCTGTAATCCCAGCTACTCAGGAGGCTGAGGCAGGAGAATTGCCCGAACCCAGGAGGTGGAGGTTGCGGTGAGCCAAGATTGCGCCATTGCACTCCAGCCTGGGTAACAAGAGCGAAACTCCATCTCAAAAATAAATAAATAAATAAATAAATAAATAAACAAACAGACATTGTGAACATACCCAGATTGAATTAATTTTGTTTATTAAAGCTGCAAATATGATTTTGTAAGCTTTATATAGTGAGTTAAAAAATGGAACTGTTGAGATAAACTTAGTTTTAAAGGATCTTTTAAAATATTTTAATATAGAAATTTGATTTGTTCAGGTATTTATTGTAAATTAGATGTTTAAACTTTAACATTTTCCTTTCAGGTGGTATGTTTTTAGCCACAGGTAGTACTGATCATGTAATCAGAATGTATTTTTTGGGTTTTGAAGCACCTGAAAAAATCGCGGAACTTGAAAGCCACACTGTAAGCATCCATGTTTTAGAATCCTTTAGATTGTTAATGCTATTCCTGTTATTGCTAAGGGGCCTTGTTACTGGCTCTAATTTTATTTTAAATTTTTTTTTCTGTTGAACAGATGAATTTTCATTTACAACTTTTTGATGGGACTTAGTTTTAAAATATTAAATCATACTTGCATTTCTGAGATAAGTCATTCTTGTGAATGATGTCTTTAAAATTTTTGCCGAATTATATTTGACAGTTAAAATTTTGTTAGAGATGTTTGTATATTTATAATAATGAAAGTATCCAGATATAATATAGTTTCTGTTAATTTCATTCTAACTTTAAGCATGTGAAGAATTATATTTAAAGGGGAGGGATGTAATTGGCATCTCAGATTAGCAGTTGAGAGGCCTAATATTTTACCGTGGTTATTTTAGCTTTATGTTCAAAATCTAGAGTATGATGGTTGATCTGAGTGGGTTGATTTTAAGTGGGCCTGCTTATCTACCCAAGCCCATGAAATAAGAATGCGATTTTATTAATGTACGGTAAGATAGAAAACTGTCAGTGTTCTGAAGTACTGGTGAGGGATCAGGTCATCTTTTCTTCTGTTTGAAGCTTTTGGGAAGCTGGTCCACACCCAGGGGTTATTTGTTAAATACAGATTTAAATAACTTAAAATAGCAATTTTTGTGTACAGATGAAAATGCCTTGTTTTTAGGTGCTTTAAAGACTATATTTTGACCACTTGCCACACATTTCACTTTCATTTAAGTCATTTTAAACAGATGTAATTATAAATATGGCTTCAATTTTAGAAGCAATGTTTTTTTTTTTCCTGTTGGATGTGCCTTTCTTTTAAATCAAAGCTGTATTTTAGTAGTCTTATTAGGTTTGTAGTTATGGGGCTAAGCAACACAACTATGAATTTTGCTTGTTAAGGCAAATAGGCTTCTAGCATTAAAACTTAGTTTTTTTCAGATTCACAGTCCATGTAGATAATCATTTTTGTATTTTGTCCTTTTCCCCCTTTTCTACTTTAGGATAAAGTAGATAGTATCCAATTTTGTAACAATGGTGATCGGTAAGTGTGTGTATTTGTGTGTGTATGCTATTAGGCAAATGAAATGTGCTATGTATTAGTATAGCTAAGCTGTCATTTTTTGTGTATTTTTTCCTATTATTATTTATTTTTTAGTTTTTTGTTTTGTTTTGTTTTTTTTTTGTGACGGAGTTTCGCTCGTTGTCCGGGCTGGAGTGCAGTGAATGGCACGATCTTGGCTCACTGCAACCTCTACCTCCCGGATTCAAGCGATTCTCCTACCTCAGCCTCCCAAGTACCTGGGATTATGGGCATGTGCCACCAGGCCTGGGTAATTTTTGTATTTTTAGTAGAGACAGTGTTTCTCCATGTTGGTCAGCCTGGTCTGTTTGGGTAGTTAAAAAAAGTTTTTCTAAGAAACTGCTGTGATATATCCTGCAAAGAAATTATTGCTTAAATGATATCCTCCTCCTTTGTCTCCATTGTGTTGTCAGGTACCTTTGCTAAGCTAATTGTTGACACCTTAATTTGTTAATAGATTGATTTATTTTTACACAGTGTCCAGCATGAATTAATTTGAATTAATAACTAAGATGTTTAAAATGGAGCTATTGAGCTTATTTTCCTATACTAAGAAACTTTTCTGTTTTTTTTCTTCTCTGCATTCTTGCACATTGTATTCTCAAAACTTAATCTGTTTGAAGAGCTATTGATTGAGTTTGAGATGTCTTTTATTTCAAAGGGCCAGGCAAATCATAGCAAATCAGATTGTTTCCCCATCCAGATGTGCTCTAAATACCTGTCTTTTGAATTAACATTATACCTGTCTTTTGAATTAACTGTATTATCCTGTTGTCGGGACAGCTACATTACAGACTTTTTTTCCATGTGATTTTTATTGTAGCCCTTGTTGGAAAGTGTGTGAATATAATAAGATCCTGTTCTAAATATTTTAAGGTTCCTAAGTGGTAGCAGAGATGGAACAGCACGGATTTGGAGATTTGAGCAGTTAGAATGGAGGAGCATTTTATTGGATATGTCTACTAGAATCTCAGGGTAAGTTGGGATTGTTAGAAGTAGGTACATTGTAAGTGTCTGATCTGTGTCTCTGTCTCTCAGTGGTTATTTTGTTGAGGGGATTATAGCTACCTTCTATTATGAAGAACTGTGGTTTAAGTGAGTAGCTGCCAACTTCGTATCTGGTGAACAGACATCCAGATAAATTTATCCTTACATTTATGTAGCAAAGAATAATGTGCTTTTCCTATTGTTCAAAGCATTGACCTCCTCCTTTGGTGTTACATTTAAAAGCTTCTGCAAATAAAAAAGATAAAATTAACTGAAGCATGTTAAATGTAGAAATTGTACTTTTCTGTGGATAGGATTTTTTTTTTTTTTTTTTTTTTTTTTGATGGAATTTTGCTGTTGTTACCCAGGCTGGAGTGCAATGGCACGATCTCAGCTCACAGCAACCTCCGCCTCCTGGGTTCAAGCAATTCTCCTGCCTCAGCCTCCCTAGTAGCTGGGACTAGAGGTGTGCACCACCATGCCCAGCTAATTTTTTGTATTTTTAGTAGAGACGGGGTTTCACCTTGTTGACCAGGATGGTCTCTATCTCTTGACCTCGTGATCTACCTGCCTCGGCCTCCCAAAGTGCTGGGATTATAGGTGTGAGCCACTGCTCCCGGCCTTGTGGATAAGATTTTTGAAAAAATTTTAGAGTAAGCTTGGAGCTAAGACTGGGGAATAGGGTAAGCAAACATACTTTATTGTTAAGGTTAAAAAAGAAAATTGAGCTCCAGCCTGGGCAGCAGAGCAAGACTCCATCTAAAAAAAAAATTGTAAATTTTACTTTAGGATTTGTTTCCTGAGTTTAACTTTGTACTTTTTCATAACAGTTTTTCTGAGAAATGTTTCTGCATTTTGTCTTTTAGAAATCATGTCTGCTTTATTTTTATTTTTGTTTCTTTTTGAAACAGGGTCTTACTGTTTCCCCCAGGCTGGAGTGCGGTGGTGTCATCATGGCTCACTTCAGCCCTGACCTCCCAAGTTCGAGCAGTCCCAGTCTTTCAAGTAGCTAGGACTATGAGCGTGTGCCACCAAGTCTGGCTAATTTTTATGTTTATTTTTTATAGAGCCTATGTTCAGGCTTTCCTCAAACTCCTGGGCTCAAGTGATCCTCTTGCCTCTGCCTCCCAAATGCCTTGTTTTTAGTAGCAGAAATTGACTTACGTTCTCTGCTGTAGCTCAAATAATTATATTGCACTTTCAAGATAAATTTGATCTTACTATTTTTGTGGAATTATCTGTGATAGAGAATGAAAAGTATGTATACTAGAAATTTGATAAACCTTGTTCATAAACAAATTAAAAAATCTTCATTACGTATAAAAACGTTATTTCTCAGTATGAAAGTGAATACTGTCCTTGATAGATTGTATTAATTAAAGGGAGTTAAAAAATTTTTATGGGCAAGCTTTATTATGTATGAACTTGATTTTACAGAGTTAGAATGGCCATTTCACGTAAAATTAACTCATTAAAAAGTATAATGGCATAGAAATGTTACCCAAAACTCCAAAAGGTAGTGAAACTGGTAACATATTACTACTCATCTTTCGACAGATAAAACAACAACAGTATTGATGAAACTGGTTCTCTGACAAGTATGTGCCACTTGCTTCCGTTTTTTAGGGAGAAGAGGCTGTTATAACAAACGCCTTATTGATTCAGTGACCCATTGGTAGTTGCTCCTTACTAACCCTGTTAAAATTAGGTTCCCATGTTTTACTTTGTGTGGGAGCTGGTGACTCTTGTCTTTTTGATTTTTGAGGGATATCTTTTAAGGTGTTGGCATCAAGCCCATTCATTCCAAAATGTATCACAGATGGGAATTTAACCCTTTTCACAAAGCAAACCACAGGAAATTTGTAGGTAGTATGCAGCCTTGTTCTGTAACTGATCTCTTATAATGTGGCAACATCATTTCTTTGGAACATCATTTACTTTATCCCACAAGAAGTGGGGGTGAAGATAATTTAAAATCAGATTCACCTGTGGATTATTGTTTTATTAAGCAAAATAGAAACATCAGTGTTAAACCTTGAATGAAAAATTTTAGACTGAAAACTTTAGTTTTCTTGCTGCCGTACTCCATCCATGGAGGAGACTTTTCCTAGAATTTATTTTATGAGAAAATAGGCTTGGCATGGTGGCTCACACCTGTAATCCCAGCATTTCGGGAGGTCAAAATGCTCACTTGAGGTCAAGAAATTGAAACCAGCCTGGCCAACATGGTGAAACCCCGCTTCTACTAAAAAAAATACAAAAATTAGCAGGCCATGGTGGCATGCACCTGTAATCCCAGCTACTTGGGAGGCTAAGGCAGGAGAATCACTTGAACCTGGGAGACAGAGGTTGCAGTTAACCAAGATGGAGCCACTGCACCCCAGCCTTGGTGACAGAGCAAGACTCCACCTCAATAAAAAAAAAAAAAAAGCAAAGTTATTAATTCCAAAGCCTTTTAAAGTGAAGAGTGGAGTCTTTGCCTTTGTTCCATTTTATTTCTTAATGTTTTTCTACTCCCAACCACCATTCAATCTAGTTAGAATTATTCTCTCTTCTGTGCTTTTTTGTAGTTACATAGATAGCTGTTTTATAGCACTGATTCTATATTCTTATAGCTGTATTCTTAGTTTTGTTTGTTTGTTTATTTTTTGTTTTTTGAGATGGAGTGGCACTATCTCAGCTCACTGCAACCTCTGCCTCTCAGGTTCAAGCGATTCTTCTGCTTCAGCTTCTTGAATAGCTGGGATTACAGGCGCTTGTCACTACTCCCAGCTAATTTTTATATTTTTAGTAGAGATATGATTTCACCCTGATGGCTTGGTTGGTCTGGAGCTCCTGACCTCAAGTGATCTGCCCACCTTGGCCCCTCAGAAGTGCTGGGATTACTGGCATGAGCCACCATGCCTGCCCTGTATTCTTTAATTAAAACATGGTATATGCTTGTACTTTCTTAAAATATATTCTGTTATTTCAGAACCCTTAGGCCTTCTCTACCCCACTGTTGACCACTATAATACAGAGATGCTTTACATAACCCTTTTTTTTTTCTTTTTGAGATGGAGTCTTGCTCTGTCACCCACGCTGGAGTGCAATGGTGCAGTCTCAGATCACTGCAGCCTCTGCCTCCTGGGTTCAAATGATTCTCCTGCTTCAGCCTCCTGAGTATCTGGGAAACAGGTGTGTGCTACCACACCCAGTTAACTTTTGTATTTTTCATAGAGATGGGGTTTCACGGTATTGGCCAGGTTGGTCTCCAACTCCTGACCTCGTGATCTGCCCGCCTTGGCCTCTCAAAGTGTTGGGATTACAGGCATGAACCACTGCGCCCGGCCCTGCCTATCAGTTTTATAAAGGATGCAAAATATTCCAGTCATGTGTATCCAACACTATTCTTGCCAAAGGAGTAGACTGTAGGAAAGTTATATAAAGAAATGAGAATAGTCCTATTTACAGTTCAGATTTAAATGTCTGTGTGTCAGTTATTTTTCTAAACATTGGGGATATGAATATGAATTACCTTATTTTCATGTTCCTAAAATTTTTTTTGTCTTCTATGGAGAGAAACAGTTGAAAGTAAGTGTTAGCAATAGGTTTGTAGTCAGATGAAGGAAATAATGGAAAACAAGTAGGGAGAAAAAACTTTGCTTTCGTAAGCAGTAATAGTGTCTTAAAATCTGCCCTTACTCAGTGTCTGTACTATTTCTGAATTATTCCTTCCTTCCTTCAGGTTTTGCCCTAAACTGTTTCTAGATAATCTGTCCTGGGTCAATTGTGATGAACTCACCGTAGGGTTGACGAGATAGGCAAATGGGTTGGATTTCCTTATTTTTGTGTTGACGAAGGATTGTATACATTGCATAGCCAACCATCTAAATAAGTTTACATGTTGTGTATTTTTTTGTTAGGGACTTATCTTCAGAAGAGGAAAGGTTTATGAAGCCTAAAGTAACAATGATAGCTTGGAATCAGAATGATAGCATTGTTGTCACAGCTGTGAATGATCATGTCCTCAAAGTGTGGAATTCTTACACCGGACAGTTGCTTCATAACTTACTGGTAAGTAGATTCTGGTACAATATAACAAATGAGATTTTTTTGAACTATGTTTGAAATTTTGAAGCTATAAACATAATATACTGAACAAGCTGTTTTGTTCATTTAAACCATCAAATGATTAGAAATTTTATAATTATATATAAATTATTGACAATATATCCTTAAAAGTCTTTATATGCTGTAACAGTATGTATTTTTAAATTTTCAGTTTGTAACTTGTAAACCCTCCTTAATGTTATGACTTTGTTAAATAAAGGGACATGCTGATGAAGTATTTGTTTTGGAGACGCATCCCTTTGATTCCAGAATTATGTTATCTGCAGGACACGATGGCAGCATATTTATATGGGATATTACAAAAGGTACCAAGATGAAACATTATTTTAATATGGTAAGTGAAGTGAAGTATACCTTTATAAATGCTTGAATAGAATATTTGGATTATAAGGCTTAGCCAGAAATTGATCTGCTTGTTTTGGCAGTTTCTGTTTTTACAAATCAGAATTTTCAAAGCCTACTAAATATTTCAAAGCCTACTGAATATAGCTGTATGCATGCTATATAAATGGCTGTATGTATGCTATATATATCAGTCATACCAAGAATTTTATCTTTGATGTGATTACATACATAGATGAAATTCTTTGTATGACTGATTTATATGAGGGAGACTTTTTGTTTTTTGAGACAGAGTCTTGCTCTGTCGCCATGCTGGAGTGCAGTGGGGAGATCTCGGCTCACTGCAACCTCCGCCTCCCGGATTCAAATGATTCTCCTGCCTCAGCTTCCGGAGTAGCTGGGATTACAGGCGTGCACCACCACACCCAGCTAATTTTTGTATTTTTAGTAGAGTTGGGGTTTTACCAAGTTGGCCTCCTATCTTCTAATCCTGTGATCATCCCACCTCGGCCTCCCAGAGTGCTGGAATTACAGGCATGAGCTACCATGCCCAGCCTGAGGGAGACATTTTTGTGTGCCTGTGTGTTTAAATTGGTAAAATTATGGCAATTATATAAACCTTTTCACTACTTGAATTTATTGAAATATTTGATAACAAAGAGAAATGTAAAAATAGTGACATCATGAAATGACATTATTAATACTCAGTATTCACCAGATATTACTAATATTTGGTTTCTGAATATTTAGTAACCCTAGGCTGAGTGTGGTGGCTCTGAACTCCCGACACTTCGGGAGGCTGAGGTGGGAGGATTGCTTGGGCACAGGAGTTTGAGACTAGCCTGGGCAACATAGTGAGACACTGTCTCAAAAAAAAAAAAAAAAAAATCCCTAGATGGTTGATCTACTGATCAACCTTTGATCAGTCGTTTTTCTTTTGGCGTAGGTATATTCTTTAAAAAAAAATTTTTTTTTTATATGTATATTCTAGAACCAAATGAGGATCCTATTGTATCTTTTTAGAATTTCTCCACATAGGCCAGGTACAGTGGCTCACGCCTGTAATCCCACCACTTTAGGCGGTGGAGGTGGGCAGATTATGAGGTCATAAGATGGAGACCATCCTGGCTGACATGGTGAAACCCTGTCTCTACTAAAAATACAAAAAATTAGCCAGGTGTGGTGGCTAATTAGCACAGGCCTGTAGTCCCAGCTACTTGGGAAGCTGAGGCAGGAGAGTCACTTGAACTTGGGAGGTAGATGTCACAGTGAGCTAAGATAGCAACACTGCACTCCAGCTTCAGCAACAGAGTGAGACTCAACAGTTTCTCCACATAATCATAATTATTGTTATTAATCAGCAAATCTAATATTGATAAAATAGTGTTACCTAATTAGGTATGTCCCAGTAACATCTTTATAGCTGTATTTTGCCCCATGGACCAGAATCCTGTTCAAGCTCATGCATTGTATTTAAAGTGGTTGTATCTTTTTAGTTTTCTTTCACTGTCACCAACCCCTCTCAACCTTTCTTCTTTTTCCTCTTTCTTGACCTTTAACTTTTGTTGAATATTAGTGAGTACTGTTACAGAGTGTCCTCAGTTTTGTCTGATGTTTTTTCATGATTAGATTGTTACACTTTTTAAAATGAAATAAAACGTAAATGATACTGTTTCCTTCATGAATCGTATTAGTAGGCACATGATATTTATTTTTCCCCCTATTAATGGTGATAATTTTTTTTCTGGAGGTGGAGTTTTGCTCTTGTTGCCCAGGCTGGAGTGCAGTGGTGCGATTTCAGCTCATTGCAACCTCCACCTCCCAGGTTTAAGCGATCCTCCTGCCTCAGCCTCCTGAGTAGCTAGGATTACAGACGTCCGCCACCATGGCCAACTAATTTTTTGTACTTTTAGTAGAGACACGGTTTCACTATGTTGGCCAGGCCGGTTTCTAACTCCTGACTTCAGGTGATCCACCTGCCTGGGCCTACCAGAGTGCTGGGATTACCAGCATGAGCCACTGTGCTCAGCCGTGGTGATAATTTAAAATATTTGGTTAAGGCAGTATTTCCCAGATTTCTTCACCACAAAATAATTATCTTCTCTTTTTGTGATAATAATTATTTTTGAGCTGGAATTTCACTCTTCTGGCCCATGCTGAAGTGCAATGGTGTCATCTCGGCTCACTGCAACCTCCGCCTTCTGGGTTCAGGCGATTCTCCTGCCTCAGCCTCCCGAGTAGCTAGGATTACAGGTGCCTGCCACCACTCCCCGCTCATTTTTTTTTGTTGTTGTTGGCTACCCAAATCAAAAGGACTGGCTAATTTTTTGTATTTTTAGTAGAGACAGGTTTTTACCATGTTGACCAGGCTGGTCTTTGAACTCCTGACCTCAGGTGATCCACCTACCTCAGCCTCTCAGTATAATTATTAAATTTTTTCCAGTAGCTCTTTTGTGATTAAATATCCTGTTTCTCATTATTCACCACAAATACTGAAAATCTCCATTGAAGATTT